GTTAATTTTCGTTATGACATACAGTTGACTTTTTTTATTAATTATATAAGAAAACATACTATCTCTGTGTATATTTATTTAAAAAAATATTATTACAATAATTAGAATAGGCGTTTCTGGTTAAATAGCAATTATTCTCGTTCTAAATCTTTGGCTATCGAGTTTCATGGGTTTTTAAATTTAAGATTATGAACACATTGGCTTGACGAAAATGATTATATACACTTAAATACATACTAAAATTTAATTTTGTAAATAAACCTACACTATTTTATGCACACATACAAAAAAGAATATTTTAGCGGCAGTGACAACGTCAAAAAAAAAACGAAACTCCTTTATACTTAATAGTTCTACGTAACAACAAAATGTAAAAATACATAGTCCTAGAGCACACTAACACATACATATATACATACGAAGATATGTGTGTGTGTAAGTAGGATGTGAGGTGGGTAGACAGGCGGGATGGAAGGAAAGCAGTTTGGCAGGAATAACGGTAAGTAGGAAAGTAGGTAGGCAGGCAGCAGCGCAGGCAGGTTAGTAGATAGGTAGGTAAGTAGGCAGGGAGTTAGGTATGTAGGTAGGTGGGCCTAGGTAGGAAGGCGCCTCACTCAGTATAGTGAGCGATTATAGTAGCCCATCATATTTATAGCGTTTCGCAATTATTAAAACGAACAAAGATACCATAGTACTCACGGGAAAACCTGGGGAGCTAAATGGAACCCTGCCAGGGCGCCACCAAATCGAATTTTTTTTTTCGCAGAAACCACCACAGGGGTATTAGCATTAACTTCTCAAATTTGAATGACAAACGAATGAAATCTTTGGTAATGCTTAAACAAACAAACCCACATATTCGTTTTTGGGGCGTGGGTTTGTCCACACTGCCGCCTAGACGCACCAAGGCTCACTGTATGAAAGCCTTGAGTGTACGTTAATCAACCTCTGTAATAGTGAGATAGAACACACATTGGCGACCGCCCATGTGTTAGAGACGCCTCCCTTGGCGCTCAAGGGAGCCACTGGTTATACTCCCGCAGGTTCGCCCCTAATTCGGTTTAATTATAAAATGTCGTGTGCCACCGTGTCCCTATTATAGGGTGCTCTTTAAAGAGGCACTCTCTGTAGAGCCCGGGGCGCTCACTGTCGCCAACTGCCAGGGCGCCGGCGGGCGCTCATTATTCTACTTAGTGAACATTTATAGTAGCCCATCGAAACCGTAGTGTCGCCCGAGGTGGGTCTTGGCCGCTCTGGGCCACTCAACCGCCGGGGAGCTGGCGGATGTACCTGGTGTAGTTTTATCACTGAATCTCAAAGTCGTAGCACCATTCCTGGCGCCTGGGGACAAATTTTCAATTTGGCGCCCCCCCCCCTCCCGCCGGAGACAAACTTTCAATTTGGCGTCCCCCCCCCCCCCGTATTTTTTTTAATATTTATAATGCAAAACTGTAGCTAAAATGAGCTTTTAAATTTTTCCCACCCATTTTGGCGCCCCTAGTGTTGGCGCCCGGGGTCATATGTACCCCCGCCCCCCTCGCTACGCCTCTGTTGAATCTAGTATTACCTATGACCGCAATTGATGAGATAGTCCCTCTGGATTCCCCTCTGGATTCTGAGCTCATAATCGTATAATGAGAAAATTCGAACCCTCCCAGGGGGCAACACTTAAGAATTTTTTTCTTTCTCGAAACCCTTTTCACCAACTCCCCAAATTTTTATGACTCTCGTACGAACAGTGTCAAATTGCATCTGGCTTTTATTTTTATGGAGAAAAATTGCATTGCTTCCTGTCAGAGACCCCAGATCGAATGGGGCGCCAAAAGGGGTAGACAATTTTTTTAAAATCCTCATTCTTCAGTAAAATTTAAGAAAACAGATTTATACATGACTGATATCCTCAATTATTTTATATAGGGGAGTGTATGTAGGGATGGGCGCCTTTTTTGCCAGCGTTTGAATAGGGTTGGCACAACAGTGATAGTTCGCCCCGGGCGCCGGAATAGGTTGCTACATCTCTGCTTCCTTCTTGGGCGCAGCCCTGGCGAAATCTTTCCGGGGGGGGGGGGCGTGCGGATACTGTTAAAAGTATATATTTTTTTCTATATAAATTCCGTTTCGTTCGGGGGGGGGGGGTCAATAGACTTTCTTCGGGGGGTGGGGGGGCTCTGCTTCCCCCCCCCCCCCCCTCCGAATAGATTCCTGGAAAATCTCTGTTCACAAAGTTGTATGGCGATCCGATGAAAAAGATGTAGTAATTCATATAGGACAAACAGATAAACAATCTTTCATTTCTATAAATATAAATAGATATATAGGGCCTAACTTTAACTAGTGTCCGCATACCCGCACCCGGAAACTTAGTCACAATTTTTTTGGTTACATTTGAACCCTTTAGGTTAATCAATATTAACAAAATTGAACAAGATGCAACAAATACAGTTAACCAAGAAATCGAACAAGTAAAATTCACGTTATATTTTTATTGTTTTTAGATATAGAGTAGTAACAGACTACCTACAGGTCCTAACTCGCGACGAGGTAGCCAACACATTTGTATTAAAACACACATCTAAGACATTTTCCATTTAGGTGGGTTTTGCAGTACAATGGTTTCTTAAGTCGTGGACAAGTGATTGCGCTTATCTCTGTTGAGTAGCTATGTATTCTATCCTATATTAGACACATTTGTAAATATCTGTCACAAAATGGGCATAGAGATGATATAACGATAGCTTATCTTTGCGGACGACGCTAAACTTCGGCATCGACACCACCGCCTACAAGTTCAAATTCGGTCCTTCAGAAATGTTTGAAGTCTCTAGATTAAAACTACTTTTCTCTTTTATGTGCCTACTGACCACATCACACGCATTTGTTCTGAAAGTCTAAAAACAGAGGCACAAATATATCGTCTAGACTTGTGAGGTCTAGAGATTAGGTATTTTGGCAGTTATCTAAGTCTTTGCCTGTTCTGACTCAAAGCCTTATTCTTTCTCTATCGACGCCTTGCGTAACATGGGATTGGGTTTTTAAGGCGGCATAAAGCTTTATGTTGTTCCTTTTTGAGTACACTAGATTTAAAAATTAACGTTTTCAAATGCCTAAAGATGTTTAAGCACTAATTAATCAGAATAATGGGTCAAGATTTCAATTCTTGGTTTTGGGACACGTTAGTTGCCGGGGTTGAGCTAATGTCGATAGCATAAGGACTGTAACTTGATGCGGGCGTTTTATTTGTTGCCCATCGTAATAATTGAATGGTTGATGGGGCTTCTTCAAGGGTTTGATTTGCCGTAATGTTAATGATATCATGCATGTGGGGCTTTTCTAAAAAGAAAATGCGTTAAAACACTTTTTAGTTATGCTTTTTTAAAAATAGGCCTATATTTTACGACAACATAATTGTAATGAACAATAAAATGAATTTAAACAACTTTAGATTACACCTGTTTCGGCTAACATGAATGTTATTCTTCAAACTAGTAAGGTTAAACGTGTCTTTTTCGCATTTTCGACTTATAAGCAATACAGTAAATTCCGATAACGTCCATATGCGTACAAGCAATGGCGTAGGCGAGGAGGGGTTTAATAGTGATTTAATAATGATACTTTCTTAACCCTCTACTGGACATCATGTTTGGTACTGGGTGGATTTGGATTACACCCAAGTTTTACTTCATAGTAAATGACTTCAGTTTTAATTATTGGAGTTGGTAGCAACATTGACACAGTTTAAGGTATTCAGAACAATGTGGCCAGGAGAAATCACATTAATTAGTATAAAATTTACCATTACTAACAATAGGCCCTACTTAATTGTTTAATGTTGATGGATATTAAGCCTGGGGTTATTTATGTTTATTAATTTGTACAGAAAAAAAAAAGGATTCCCAAACAAAGTTTTATTTTTCAGAAATAAAGAAAATGATACAAATCAATAAAGAACAGTTCTCAAAAGAATTTGTATAAAAGTAATTATTATAAAATAGGAATATAGCATTGCATAGATAAAAATAAAATACTTGACACAAACAATATGAGGAATATTTTTTATCAGAGAAGAGAAAAATATATGATGTAGTTTGAAAATAATAATGTACAGAATGTAGCTTTTGCAGATTAAAATGAAAATTCTCATGCCTATATAATTTATTGAGTAAATGAAGCAAGGCCCAAAACACTAGGCTAAATAATATGCATGGGACAGGCATTGAAAACTACAAATTGCATATAGTGAAGGTTACCCTATTTATTGGCTATATCCACAGTAAAGATTTATGGCTTTATTACCTGCTTGTAAAATTGTTAAGGAAAAAGTGAAGTATTGTTAACGGCACATGTTGTCATTTTTTTGTGTTCTCGGCACATGTTGCCATTTTGTGTGTTCTGGGAACATGTTGCCATTTTGTGTGTTCTGGGCACATAATGACATTTTGTGTGTTCTGGGAACATGTTGCCATTTTGTGAGTTCATGGAACATGTTGACATTATTTGGCTGTGTTCTGGGAACATGTTGCCATTTTGTGTGTTCTGGGAACATGTTGCCATTTTGTGTGTTCTGGGAACATGTTGAAATTATGTGGCTGTGTTCTGGGAACATGTTGACATTATGTGGCTGTGTTCTGGGAACATGTTGACATTATGTGGCTGTGTTCTGGGAACATGTTGACATTATGTGGCTGTGTTCTGGGAACATGTTGACATTATGTGGCTGTGTTCTGGGAACATGTTGACATTATGTGGCTGTGTTCTGGGAACATGTTTGTTTCATTTTTAAATATTATAATAAACATTTTTAGAAATTCTATATTAGGAGTTGTGTATATATATAAATTTATATATTTAATAAGACAATTGGATGAATTATAATAAACAGCAAAAATGATTCAAATAAGTTTAGAAATATTTGGCTTGATGTCATAACAGTGAACTGTATTCCAAGCTTGTTTCCCTAGTGATAACCCATATTTTTTGTGCCACCCTTCCAATCAAATATCCAGCTTTTTCTTGGCATGTATCATAATGCTGGTCATAGACTTGCTTGATTTGTGTATCACAATATGATTTTGAATGTTCTTCTGTAAATGAAATAAAGACAAAATATTTTGATATATTCTTTTGTGGAACTAGCAAGAGAAATACATTACAAATTTATATTACTATCTCTACTATTTCTTTACTATAACTAATTACTTTGAAAAGATAAAGCACTGAACATGATGAATAACAAGAAACAAACATTATCAGCAAAGATTATAGATTTAAAATTGTGTTCATTCATATTGAAGATTAATGAAGTAGACTATCAATATTTACCCTCTTGATAGCTGATACTTTGATTTGATGTCTTTACTTTAAGCTTACACATCAGTCTCTGTGTGGTAAAATATGAAATAATATGCTTCAATAAAACTGTTTCAGTATATTAATTATATTAGATAAGTACATAGTTTTGAGCTCCATAACAATATGTGTTTCAATTATCATTCAAATATAATACCCTCTATGTTGTACAACTCACTGATTTATTAGAATTTAAGAAAAGACAATAATTAATAAAATATTTTGGATTAAAATCCATTATATTTAATATAACATATAATGCTATCTCTTGCTATAATAATTACTTTAAAAAATGGGTTATGCCTATAGTACAGTTACCTGAGGATGAAACTAGGCACAGTGTATAGTCCACAGAGACTGATTAATATCCCTTGTAATTGAACATCAGTTGTAGTTATGAAACCTGGATGGCCAAACACACACTCATAGTTCTGAAAAGCAATTTACACATAGATTAGCAAGAATATCTCAAAAATTATTAAATTAAAGCTAACCCCTATTTAGTGCAATCCATCAAAGTAGTAGCATTTTTGTTAAGTTGTAGACACAATACAAAGTAATGTTTGTCTGTGATTTACATACTTTTATAAAATAGCAATATATATATATATATATATATATATATATATATATATATATATATATATATATATATATTCATTGTAAATTTAATTATGTCTTGCTATTAAATTTATTTACTCGACTGATCTAAACTCACTTTATTTAAACATAATATAGTGGATAAGTATAGTGATTTTATTATTCAGCAATAAATAGCAGGCCTAAAAAAATTTAAATAGTAACGTTTGCGAATGATTACATTAAATTCTATGTATTTCCCTTTGTATGTCTTTCCCAACTTGATGCATATTACTAACCAAGCATTAAACTATAGTCCTAAACCTGACTCTAATTACCATTTATTGGACAACCTAAACCTTTGCGATACCATGTTATAATATATTATTTAAAAAAAGAGCTTACCACTAATTACTAAAACCAATTGTTTTTAGTATTAATTGAGCCGCATCACCAGAAATCCAGTATGTTGGCAAAGTTCCCCGCAACCTCTTTCCTCTCGAGTGCGGAAAACACTGAAATCATTAATCATTATTTCATTATGCCTAATAGTTTAAAAGTAGTATTAAAGTAGTACTAAATAGTACGAGTCTTAGTTACTATAGGTCTAATGATAATTATTATTGTGTATGCTTACATGCTTTAAGTTTTATGCACAATATTGGTATATAATATATAGTCTATAGTATATAGCCTAAGCTATAGAGTATATAGGCCTATAAGCCTAAATATAACAGCAGCTTGAATAATGCTCATTAGCATGCATTCACTATAAACTATAAAGATAAACAAATATTTCAATTTAATTTACTTATAACTAATAATAGTAAATAGTAAATAGGCTTTTTTCTTGTGGTAACAAATTTAAAGTATAGGGCAGTACAGTTATAGTATAGGCCTACTAGATTCTATATTTAAGTATGTGGGCTTTTCATTCCAATGCACCACAATAGATACCACACATGATCAAGCTGGACCTCTGATCTAAAGATTTAATAATTGGGCCTAACAAACAGTGAAACTACAATAAAAATCATGTAAATTACTAATTTAACCTTCTTACCTCCGCTTCTCTAGATGGGTTTTCTTTTTATGCAGCCGTATGATTAGATTCTAGAATCTAGACTATATTCTAATAAACATGAAATAACTACTAACCAGAACACTAGATCTAAATTTCTATATTCTATGCAATATGTATTAAACCTATAGGCCTAATATTTATTTTAAATTCCTATGCGATGTGTCGTGAATTGTAGGTTTCATGTTATTTTTGTAATGGCGGAAATCATTTTAAAATTTCGTTTCCTTCCTTTTGTTATTCTATTTATAGATTCAAAATGCTTAGAGTCGGAGCAATTATCATTGAGTTAGTCGGCTGATCCACACAGGAAGTGCTGGTATATCTATTACTTACTCAGTGATCTGATCATTGACAGAAACAGAGATAGCCATTCGCATGGGGTGGATAGAGAGAGAGAGAGAGAGAGACAGAGAGAGAGAGAGAGAGAGAGAAGTGCGCTTTTGGGCTTTTATATATTAGGATACAGAAAGTCTTGTAAACAAAAAAAATCGAGATTTTTACAAATTTCGACGTTTTACACCTCACTGATACGGAAAAACATAATTTTGCAATCTTGTCCGTATGTCTGTGTGTCTGTCTGTCTGTGTGTCTGTCTGATGTGTGTAAACACGATAACTTGAGTACCGATACAGCTAGGTTGATGAAATTTCATATATAAGTATTTTATCAAAATCCGATTTCTCAAAAAACGCATGTAAATTTATAAAATACTAATAATATTGCGCACTATTATGCACATTTTGTTTTGGCGTTCGCTTGATGCGCAATTCGTTTTTCTATGAGATTCTATTTTATTTTTAAAAGTTTAAGTAATTAAAAATCATGTCTATATTCCAAGTTATATAAGAATATTCGAGAAAGTTTAGGGGAGATCACTCCCGGTTTATTTTTAATTAACATTGTTAGATAAAAATATTATTCTATTTATTTCATGTGACGTCAGTGTGCTACTTTTTGCCAGTGTGCTACTCTAGACCCTACACAACTATAAGCAATTCTCCGGTTGCATATTGAACAATTTGTTTCAACATTCGACTATTATTCCTTTACTTGTTTTTTTTTCAGTCGTTAAATAAAATTTTGTTTATACATTTGATACACCAAACATTTAATTTTCAACAATAGTTCGTATCTTTAAGTTCTTCATATATTTCTGTAGATATTGATCGCGTAGCCTATAGACATATGTTGCAGCCAGACAGAGGAAGAGATAGAGGAAGAGAGCGAGAAATAGAAAATTGCGCCCTTGGGCTTTTACATATTAGGATAATATATTTATCAATTTGTATATTCATAATTGGTATATTCATGAATTTCTACACTCACAGATTAGTTTTATATGTATATTCATATTTTCAAATACTTAAAACTGCCAACCTACTTACATAACTATATCTTGTTCCTATTTCTATTCCTCATCCTAATCCTACTCCTAAATATAATCCTCTTTTATTTCTTGTAGTAATTTGTAAGCTATTTTTTCATAGGAGTACACATTACCCAATTTCGTCTTACTTGCATTCATTCAAGCATTCAAATATGCACACATTCATTTATGTTGCATTGATATATTCCTATTTCATGTTTTTATAAATTGATATATTTTTGCATTCGTATCATAATATGTTTATATATGCATGTTTCTGTGTCTACGAAGGATATTACTCAATTGGTATTTCAATAATTTAAAATATTCGTTTTATCTGTATATTTATATTTTCATACATTTTTTTTTATTTTCACATTTTCACAGGTTTCTATTTTCCTTTGCTAGAATGAACACTTTAACGTTAACATGTAATTGAGAAATGTAATAAGCAAACTTACTTAAGAGTGATGAACGTATCAGGACTGCCCCGTATGGTCCAGGTGTAAAACATGTTATTCAGGTAACTCAGTGGATATCCAGGACTAGAGATGAAACCTTGAGGCTCGGTCAGTGTGATGTTTGTATCTGTATGTTACATTACATTTATTAATTTTCATTTTGAAACTCAATAATACAATACTCTATACATACTGATCTGTTACCAAAAGGTAAACTAATATTTAATAGTTACTGAAAAGTATACTTTTTCTTTCTTTTTTTTAGTTTGTAGACGTTCAATGTAAGAATTATTATTGTTTATCTATTTTATGCATATTTTACTATCAAAATCCGTACGCAAAGTATTTAGGTATGGGTATACAATACAATTTAGACAACTCTATGTTTTCATTCCAGGCCTTACACGAGTTTTTAATCTTTACATACATCTTGGTTTTCTTTTAAAAATTACGTACATTTTTTTTTACTTTTTCGTATATACTAAGTATAGAGAAAGTCTTGTAATCGTGCAAAAAAAAAAAATCAAGATTTTTGCAAATCTCGACGTTTTACATCTCACTGATACGGAAAAACATAATTTTGCAATCTTGTCCGTATGTCTGTGTGTGTGTGTGTGTGTGTGTGTCCGTGTGTAAACACGATAACTTGAGTACCGTTACAGCTAGGTTGATGAAATTTCATATATAAGTATTATATCAAAATCGTAGATCCGTATCAACTTTTGAGCGATTTCCAATAACCGGAAGTGGTACTTTTTATACTTTGAATTTTTCAAAAGCCTATAACTTGAGTACTGTTTCAGATAGATAAATGAAATTTGATATGTAAGTAAAAGATCTAATTCTCTACCTTCTGTCGAATTTTGAGTAATTTCTGTTGACCGGAAGTACTTATTTACGCTATTTCCGATTTCTCAAAAAACGCATGTAAATTTATAAAGTACTATTATGCGCATCTTTATTTAGCGTTCACTTGGTGTGCATTTCTTTTTTCTACGAGATTATATTCTATTTTTAAAAATTTGAGTAATTAAAATGGATTAAAAATTATGTCTAGAAGTCTATATCCCGAGTTGCCATCCCCCATAGTGTTATATTAGAATATTCGAGAAAGTTTAGGGGAGATCACTCCCGGTTTATTTACACTAAAACGCACTGTACAGTAAGGGAGTATGTTTATCTTTTTATTGGCCATGAAACAAGTGTTATTATTTGATTTCTATTTATTTTCATATTATTTTGAAAACTTAATTTTTTTAAATTCTGGCATAAGTACATCCCTTTTAAATATATAATAACGCATTGAAGTAGGTCCATTTTCAACCTCTGGATATTACAAATCTAACAACCTGATATTTATTGATATGCCTACATATTCTAAATACTTAGAAAATATGAGATAGTGGCATGTCGGGAGATAGTTGATTTAATTCAAGATATTTTTTAGATTGAAATTTATTAAGGACGGGTGAGTCTAGATCACACTTTGGTCACTCTAAATGCTACTGGTGGGGTGGCTAAAGATTTTATTCATGAGAGAGAGAGCAATTAAAGCATGTTGTAACGAATGAAAAAAAAACTTAACTGAGTTAATTTAAATGTGGTTAACAGAACAACAGCTAGCCGTCCACCAATTTGCATCTTTATGTTAGATACATAAGTTCATACACAGAAAAAGATTGATAGACTATTCTGTATTCGTAGATAATTTTTGTTTTAATGTATACCTAGAATTTTATAGGTAGTGAGAAATTTCCCACTTCCTAATGTTCTAAACACCACATGCATGCAGTTTGTTGTCGACAATGTCAGTATTTGCCGATCTGTACACATTTTTCCAAATGACCGGCTGAGTGTCCATGGCCCATCAAATATCTCAATGTAATCATCTGCACAACTTTCGTTTGTACCCATATCCATGTATGTTATGCTAAAAAAGA